AAGTCTACCCCCAGTATTATACACATGACACACGACACATGTCTAGAAGTCTACCCCCAGTATTATACACATGACACACGACACATGTCTAGAAGTCTACCCCCAGTATTATACACATGACACACGACACATGTCTAGACATATACCCCTGGTAGTACATACATGACACGAGCCCCTCTCGAGGGACACTTTCCTTTTTGATCTATGATCAGTGACGTGAAGATAAACAGTGGGATGGACATTATGTTAGCTGGGCTGGGTTTTTTCTGGGTTCTACTCTCAATTTTTTCCCCACATGTCCAGAACATTTACCCGACTACTGCCTGGTTCTAGGCATGTTGAGCTCCCACCTTCATGTCAGAAATTCACCCCATATGATATCATATGTGACCTACAACAAGTTGCTGATTTTAAAGTCAAAGTATAGTGCTGTAGGCGAGGTCATGTTGTGGGCATGTGTGACGGCTCCTATCTGTTGCAATGAGATGTACTGCCATTGTTGTTACTAACCACCAAGTGGGCAAAATAAAGGAAAGACTGTGTGTCTGGATGGAGGTAGATTTTTTCAACACATACAGGTAGGAAATAGTGGCATGAGGTTTGGCCTCTCTGGCCCCACAGACAAGAATTATCACTTGTGGTAAAAGAGGAAGGAAGGAATAGGGAGGTGAGATCAAATGAAAGTACAAGTAAGTAAAATTGCAGGGAAATAATTCAAGTTAATTATGGTAACTAAGAGATGAACAATCCAGAATTTATTGTTTCCCTTCCATACCGATAATACATTGTAATCTGATAGTCAGAAACCGTCTGTTGTTGATAACACATAGCAATCTAATAATAGAACACCGTCTGTTGTTGATAACACATAGCAATCTAATAATAGAACACCGTCTGTTGTTGATAATACATAGCAATCTAATAATAGAACACTGTCTGTTGTTGATAATACATAGCAATCTAATAATAAAACACCGTCTGTTGTTTCAGCGTGCCCTCGGAGGACCCGTCCGGAGAGTCCATCGTCCTCCCCCGCGACCAGTTCTTCCGCATCCTGCAGGCCTCGAGGGTACTCAGCAAGGAGGAGAGGGAGGCTCAGGCCGAGAGGATGAAGGCAGAGAAAGAGAGAGCTATGGTGAGGGGGGAGAGAGGGGAGAGAGGTGGGGGGG